GCAAGTTTTCAAGCTCATTCATGAGTTCTTCAAGCGAGAGATATTTCAAAATTGTTATTACATTGCGTATTATGATAATTTTGAAACTGATTATAATTAGCTGATAGTCGTGATGAATACGGAAATGACCGTAATACTACAGGATCGGTTAAGAGCATTACAATATCAGAATTGTGTTAAATAAGGGTTAAAATTTCATAAATTTTGTTTCTTGGTTTGTTGCTATAAGCATGGCAGTATGAAAATTTAATATTTAATATATTTGAACTTTTTAAATAATAAAATAGATAAATCTACCTAGTTTGCACAATCGTATAACAGTATATAAAATACTGAAAAGCGTTAGAGTAAGAATACCATAACAATTGATTAAGAGAGCTGCTTTCCAGGCTGGCTAAGTCTGATGCTTCCTCCTCTTGCTGACTGGGGTTGACATGCATAGCAGACTGAACAATCCTACCAGTAAAGCTTCTTACGAACATACACCTTGTGGATGCAAGAAATACTCGCGCAGACTGTGCGAGTATTGTCGAACTAACTTGCGTGCATGTGCTGCACACTGCAGCAGACGTGAAAACTCTCCTCTTTATGAAACCACTTGGAATTCCATTTAAGAAAACTGGTTAATGATAATGACTCTGAAGACAAACACCATGATGTATCTCAAACTTCACTGAAACCTGTTGAACGCGTCTGCCTTTCAAGTAACTGGCATATGTTACAGATATTTATATAAATATGGGTGCAGGTGCTAACTGCTTTATGCGATAAGTCGTTCGATTATAGACCTAGAACAGGACTAATGGACTATGGCTGGCTTATGGATGTCAAATATGACGACGTGATTTTGAGTAAGATCTGGATTATTAACCATTGAGTACTTCACTTTTGAGGCTTACTGTGCTTCCGTAATTTGATGTACAGCTTGGAAACATACAGCAGTGGATGGGGGAGGGGTGTAATTTTACTATCTGATAGTTTTCGCATGACGTCATTGATCTGGAGCTGAGCTTTAAAAATGAAGTCTACGCCGTGTTGGATCTTTAGATACAGCTAGAGGGAGCATCAGAAAAACTTGTTTATAAGTAAATTGTTGTTGTTTGTAACTAAGCACAAAGCTACGCAATTGACTATCTGCGCTCTGCCCACCACGGGTATCGAAACCAAGTTTCTAGTGTTGTAAGTCCGCAGACATACCGCTGTGCCACTTGGGGCATTTACAACTAAGAAAAACAAAGCAACAGAAAATTACCGTAACTCAAATGTACTTGACTTATGATTATACCAGAACATTTATTATGTCTCGAGTGCTTCATGTTACAAGTTTTTGCAACATTTATAAATATGTATTAAAGAACGAGTGAATAACATCGGACAGGTTATTGGAAAAAAAAAAGTTCTATCAGTTACGTTTTTAATCATGAAAGTAATAGAATGAAGAACTATTATTCTATTAATAAACCTCTTATTAAGAAAATAAACAAATGATTTTTGTTTGTTTGTATGGTAATCAGGTGTTGCAATTTAGCCTGACATCAATATTTTTGAATAAAACTTCAGGGTATAATATAGCGCCCCTCAGGCAATAGAATAACAAGCTTTTATACCTTTATCGCCAGGAAGAATACATAGCAATAAAAACCACTCTTATCACTTTTTTCAATTCAATAGTGTTTCAACAAGAACAGTATTTTATGGTTTCTGGAGTACCGTATAATGTTTCCGGAGTGTTGTGACAAAAAAAAAAGACACCAATTCCAAAACGTTATTGTAAAAAAATAGATTTTTAGTGAATTTTTAAAGGAAAAAAAAGTCAGTAAAGACAAAAATACCCTGGTTCTGGGGTAGCACCTCACTGAAAACACTTACTCTTTAAGTAGGTAATAGACATTCGACTTTGTGGGTATGTTTGTAAGATAATGTTAGCTTGTAATGGATTCATGATGGTTTATCAATGATTTATTTGTTTGAATTTATGCATAAAGCTACACAATGGGCTATCTGTGCTCTGCCCACCTCGGGTATCGAAACCCGGTTTCTAGAATTGTAAGTCCGCAGACATACCGCTGTGCCACTGGGGGGGGGGGCGTTATCAATGAAGATGAAGACCCGACCCTTAACGACTCACAAAGCTAAATTTTCACACTCAGCTGTTGTGTAATATATATATACAAACATTGTTTCATCCGTACATTTACAGTTTTTCCTAATAACTAAGTAAACTAATGATTATGTTATTATATTATAGTTTTAGTAATAATCATCTTTGTAACACAATTTTCAGATTTCGCTGAAGATGGAATAAATTATTCCGAAACGTTCGAACCTTGTAAATAAAATGTTTTATGTTTTATCAACCGTCTTCATCTTCATTATTAATGTTAGCTTGTTTTTTACCTGTACGATATTATCATCACAGGTGTTCAGTTTTGATGGTATTCTTATTCTAACGCTTTTCAGTATTTTGTATAACATTATACGACTATTTGAATTAGGTTAACTTATCTATTTTATAATTTCAAAAGGTCAGATACATTAAATGCTACATTTCCAGGCCACGTTTATAGCAACAAACCAAAAAACAAAACAAATAAAGTTTATGGAATTTTAACCCTTATTTTCTAGTCCTCATCACCTGTATTTCTTGTATAAGTTTGTGACCTAAAAGTAGGAATTTGTAATGGCACACATTATGTAATCAAAAAGTACACATTAAACTATACTTGTGCCAAATTTGGTGTTTTTATCCCACTTTGGACGATTTTACCCGTAAACGCTACATTATACAAACGTTATGATAATGATAAGCTAGTTAAAAATTTGCTGATGATAATGATATTGAAGTATTTGATGCCAGGTTTGCACATAGCTAGCTATATTATTATATAATATATACCGAATTAATAGAAATTACTTTTCTGTAAAATATTTATTTTGTTATTTTTTATATAATAATAAATAAAACTTAGTCTGAAAAAAACATAGATGAGAAAAAGAAAAGATGCGAAGAAGAAAGTTTCTAACACAGCATTGTAGGCCTTCAGTAAAGCTGAAAAGTTATATGATTTCTAATGGAGAAGATTTCGTTGTTAACAACTCATGTAATTATTTACACTCACACATACACACACATTCTTTTAAAATTTACACTGAATAAGATACATATTAAAAACATCAGGTCAGAAGGTTTCTTATAATTAAAAAATAAAGATAAACAAATTCAGACATATGGTTGTGTTTTTAAAACTAGATCATGGTATAGTAATTATATCATTAAATTTCTTATAAGCTTCTTTTGCCGGCATGACTCGCCAAGATGGTTATGATTCAAGAGAGTACGTAAGGTGTTACAGAAACTTGGAAACACACATCAGGGATTTTTATTACATGTCGTGTACGAAACCGTCTAAGTAAAATAAAACTTCGCATTAGGATATTTACATTTTTTTCGGACAGGCGATTATGACAATAATGAATTATTAAAAAAACAAAAAAACAAATAAAGCTCTCGGTCATATGCAAGGAAAACGTACTTCACCTTTCTGGTTATTGTAATGTGGATATTATATAAAGATTTAGTACGGAGTTTATGGAAATATGTTTTATACCGACAAAGCTATACATATGTTTTTTTATCGTGTTCTAGGTAGGCCAATCAAGATAAATCGAACCTGTTTCGCAGGGATAAGAAATGATTACATAACCGATTAAGATATGCCTTAGTTTCGAGTCAAGTCTCTTTATGTCTGATCTAAATAACTTACTGGAATGGAAGAAGAATCAGTACCAGATAATCAAAAAGACGAGATGCACTAATCTCCAAAAGTTAGTGTTATATTCTACATTTAGGTTCACCCCCCCCCCCACCCCCCATGATAGGAGAGCAGTACTAAACCAATAAAGTTAACTATACTTTTAGAGCTAACTTTTAATGATCTAAGCTTAATATAAACTTGTGATACTTTAAATTTAACTACACATAACAGTGACATCTCTTCGACAACCAGTTCAGTCTGTAATGTTATTCGGGAAGCTGGTTCGATTCCTCCTTATCTACATGCCAAAACATAAATACATATAAACCCATATCTATAAGTATATTAACAATACTATATATCTGTTTCCTTATTAAAAATATATATACAAAAAATATATTGTGTAACGTAAGCATAATTCTATGTCGAATAATACATAACTTCTTTAAAATGTCCTTAGTTTTCCAACTGTTGATAACCAGATTAATACATTAAAGAATATTACTCATAAACAACAGTTATCTGGCTATTTTTGACGTTGTAACAGTTTTAAACCAGACCAGAAGGCGGCTTCAGGATGAAGTCCAAAACGTCATCGTTATAGTAGGAAGAATAAACAGATGAATATTTTTCCATAGATAAGATAACAAGCATATAATTATTTGCTTTAAATTCAATATCATGCTCATCAGTATTGTTGAGCTTTTATAGTATTGTTGTGCAATGTTAATTCATGGCCCAAACTAAAAAAAAAAACTTAATTTGAACAGAACAAAATTTTACATACTGCTTCAAGCTATGATATCTAATTAATCATTTTCTTACCGGGATAGTAAAATCGTCTAGAAAGTACAAAATTAAATTATTTGAAACCCTATGTAATGAAGGAAAGGTTAAAAATCATAAGCTAATTATTAACCACTATACATTCTAAAAATATAAATGATTCCAGAGTGTTCAAAAAACGTGCTCTAATATTTAGGAAATTCGTTAAATACTTGAGGTTAGTAAAGAAACAGTAAAGAATAAAAGTATAGAAAAGCTGGATATTAAAACACATTATATATGTAGCAATATACAATATACATGGATGTGTTCATACAATTGCATAATTTCCCAAAGAAGGAAACGTAGATCCTTAAACGTCATCTGTCAATAAGATATATACAAAGTAATAACCTAGAGATGTTCTCCCCTTGTCTCACTAACTATTTGAATATCGTATATATTCAACCAAGTCTCGATTTATTGGTGATGTTGAGGGTATCCAACCTGCAACTGTACGTATGATCTCTGAGGAGCAGAGCAATGATGACCGTGTAAAATCTCCGTTAGATGTCGCTTTTGTTCTTCAAGTTCCTGAATTTCCCTTCTAAGAGCAGAGTTATCAGTTTCTAGATGGTCCGATTCCTGTAGAGAGAAATTAAATAACACTTGTCAGAATTTCTTGTAACGAGATTATATATACTCTTGGTATATAACTATTTGTTTTTAAATAAAAGTCAGTAATACATAAGAATAAGAACCATGAAGACATGAAGAGTATTTCTTTCTTTCTTTTATGCAGTTTCTGATATGTTAGTACTTACAATGGCCAACCACTGAGTTCGTTCTTTTTTTTTGTATCGACACTTCGTGGCAGCGACCTTGTTTCTTTCCCGTCGTCGCCTCCTTCTTTCTTCATCTTCTGGCGTTATCTATAAAATCGTTTGCTTTAAATCTAAAATCTAAAACATTTAGAATTTAATATGAAAATGTCAACTGTTTTTCAGCTAACATAAGAATGCGAATCAGTTGAAAACAAAGAAGTTAAAAAGTTAACCGTACATTAATGAACGCGAAAGCCTATTTTATTTGTCACATTACTACTCTATACCTTTGTTAGTTGTAAGACGAAAAGCTATTAACAAGTTTGAAAAAAAAAAAGAGATATATTTATCTTTTGAGTAAACGCACACACACATAAATCGAGAGGGTCAATCAAACTATTTTGAATTAAATATTGAATCACAAATGAAGCAAATGTATATACTGTATATATATATATATATTGTAATGAATTTATTGTTTCATATTTGTTTGAATATCAACGTTTGTTGAGATTAGGTTTGTATTTGAAACCTAGCATAGCTTGTAGTGTTAAATATATCTTGTGAAACTCTCGCCTATTCTCCAAAGTTGTAGAAGATTCTCGAGAGTAGGAATCAGCAAT